TGGATGACTGGGCACTAAACTCAGCAACGGATTAATCCATGGATGAGTTTATCGCTGACTGAGTCATTAGGGGGCGGGACCTAGCTGGAGGAAGTAGGTCTCTGGGGACGAGACTTGGAAGGCAATGTCTTGCCCCTGCTCTCTGCTTCCTGGCTACCATGATGTGAGCGGCTTTTCCCACCATGTCCTGCCACCATGATGTTTCTGCATTATCACAGGCCTAAAAGCAAGGGAGCCAGCCCACCATGGACTAAAACCTCTGAAACTGTGAACCAAAATAAACCTTTCCTCCTTTAAGATTTTGGTTTTGGGCACTGGGGTTTGAACTCAGGGCCTTGCAGTTGCTAGGCAGGTGCTCTACCACTTGAGCCGTGCCCCCAGCCATTTTTGTTTTCATTATTTTCGGGTCACACTTTATGCCTGGACTGGCCTGGACTACAGTCCTCCCAGTCTGCCTCCCAAGTATCTAGGATTGTAGGCGTGAGCTGCTTGCACCCAGCCTTTAAGTTTTGTTGTTGTTGTTTTTTTTCAGGTATTTTGTCACAATGACAAAAAGTGACTAACATACTAACCTTTAGATTACATGATAGATTTTATTTGTCTTGTTTTGTTGCAGTACTGGGGACTGAACCCAGGGCTTTGTGCATGCTAGTACAGTGTTCTGTCTCTTGAGCCATGCCTCCAGCTGCATGATAGATTTAAGATAGACTGTACTCAACTGTTAAAAGGCCACGGTCAGGGAAAATACAGAGAACCTGTTAGCCAGGGCTTTGTGGCTCCCCACACTCTATGGCAGCTTAATGGCAAACATTGTGAACATTTGCCTCTAACTGGATGTGCTAAAATATTAAAGCATCACTCTAACTTCAAGTACAAAGTTTTCTGTACTTGCTGAACTCATAAGTCTTTACAGGAAGAACCAAGCAGTATTGCAGAAAAAGGATGAGCCACTTGTGCTTGACACCAAAGGATGAAATTAGTGGTTGCGTGGGATGCCGGCAGCAATCTGCAGCACCGTCTCTTCATCTTTGATGTTTGTACTTGGTATTTAGGTTTTGAAACATTTTACAAACATTGCCTCATTAGTGACAAAAGCATGGGTTAGGGCTGAAGGTGTGACAAGTGTGAACTATAAGAATGATTACTGCTGCCGGGTGCTGGTGGCTCACACCTGTAATCCTAGCTTCTGAGGAGGTAGAGATCAGGAGGATTACAGTTCAAAACCAGCCCAGGGAAATAGTTCTCAAGACTTAACCTCAAACAAACAAACAAAAAAGGTCTGGTGGAGTGGTTCAAGGTTGTAGGCCCTAAGTTCAAACCATAGACTGCAAAAAAAAAAAAAAAAAAAAAAGATTTTCCCAGCGGGGCATGGTGCTTCACACTTACAATCTCAGCACTCAGGAGCCTGAGGCAGGAGGGTTGAGAATTTAAGGCCAAGCTGAGTTACATAGTGAGACCCTGTCTTAAAACACCAAAGGCTGCGGCTGTAGCTCAGTGGTACATGGCTATCAAGGCCCAGCACCTCCAAAAAAAGAGAAAGAAAATATCTTGGCTATCCATATTAGCCATCTCTTCTGCCTTCATTTTGATTTTGAGATAAGGTCTTGATAACTTTGCCAGGGCTGGCCTGGAACCACGATCTTCCTGCTTCCGTCTCCCGAGTAGATGGGATTACAGGTGCCTACCACCATGCCAGGCTCCAACCCTTGTTATTCTTTTTTTTTTTTTTAAGCCTTTTTTGGCAGTGCTGAGTTTTGAACTCAGGTCCTCACGCTTGCTAGGCAGGTGTTCTACCACTTGAGCCATGTCCACAGCCTTGGATGGCCTTCTTTATTAACAACCAAAACATTTTCTTACAAATGAGACATGTAGCTGGCCATGGTGTTACACATCTATAATCCCAGCATTCAAGAGGCTTACACAGGAGAATTTCAAGTTCAAGGCCAGCCTGTTTTGTTTCAAACAAAACAAAAACCAAACCAAAACAACAAAAAGAATAGATCTTGTCCTCAAGGAAGTTTCGGCCTAAAAGAAGAATTTCAGACAATGACCTCGTGGCTGTAATACCTTGTGTGATTGTGCACTCTGCAGTTACTATGGTAACACGGTAATGCGACAAGGGAGCTGTCTCGAGGGTGTGGTGGGACTTGAGGAGTACTCACCAGGACAGTGCCCAAGGCATCCTGGGAGAGGAAGGGGGTGGCAGGCAGCAGGTAATGGAGTTGGGGTTTGTGTCCTGGAGGGCCATTCCTGCCCCACTGAGGCGTTTAGACTACTCAGCCTGAGGCAATAAACGTTCATTAGGTTTGAATTGGGATCCGATATCAGATTCTGTTTCCAGTATTGCATTGATTTTCCCTGCTGCCCTGTCCAGTGATTCCAAGTAGAGGCTTCACACGAATGTGTCATCTCGCATCTGTAAGGCAGGAGAAGGCTTGGCTCCACAGGACCCTCCTTCCCAGATTCTCACGGCTGAAAGCAAGGCACGGCTGGCTGGGTACCAGTGGGAGCTCCTGGGAGGAATTCACTTATCCAGGTTGGTGGCGGAATCTACTTCCTGTGGCTGAGACTATGTCCCCACTTCTTTCTTGCTGTGAGCAGGGGTCTGGCTGTGGCTCCCAGACCTCCTTCCTGGGCTTGGACATGGCCTGTGGGTCTCAGCCAGAAGGCACGTGGAACTTCTCACTTCTCCTCCTGCCACTTCTCTCTCACTTCCTGTTGCTTTTTTTTTAACATTACTGGAGTTTGAACTCAAGGTCTACACCTTGAGCCACTCCGCCAGCCCTTTTGTGTGATGTTTGTTTTTTGAGATAGGGTCTCGAGCACTATTTGCCCAGGCTGGCTTCAAACCTCATCCTAATCTCTGCCTCTTCTGTAGCTAGGATTACAGGTGTGAGCTACCAGTGCCTAGCTTTTTTTTTCAAGGTTTGTGTGATTAGACTGAGCACACCTGAATAATACAGGATAATCTTCCTGCTTTAAACACCTTAACCTTAAACACACCTGCAGTCATTTTGTTCATGTGAAATGTCGTATTCACAGCTAACGGGTTAGGTGTGGACATCACGGGTGTGCCATTTGTCTGCCTGCCTCAGTGTCTAGGTAGCTTCTAAAGAGTAGAGGGAAGCTGGGTGTGGTTGCTCACTTCTATAATCCTAGCTACTCAGGAAGTGGAGAGGATTTTGGTTAGAAGCCAGTGGGGGCAAAAAATTTACAGACTCCTTCTCAACTAATGTCTGGGCATGGTGGTATACGCCTGTCATCCCAGACATGGGGAAGCACAGATAGGAGGATCAAAATTCAGGGCAGCCTGGGAATAAAGTGAGACCCTATCTCAACAATATTCAACACGAAAAGAGATGGAGGACAGGCTTACATGGTAGGGTGCCTGCCTAGCAAGCACAAGGCCCTGAGTTCAAACTCCAGTACCACCAAAAATAAATAAGTAAATAAAGAGAAGAGGGGTCTCTGTCTCTTCTCTTCTTTGTTTGGGTTTTTTTTTTTTTTTTTTTTTTTGCTGGTGGCACTGGGGTTTGAACTTAGGACTTCGTACTTGCTAGGCAGGTGCTCTACCATTTGAACCAGGCTCCCAGCCCAGTCTCTTCTTTTTTAAAAAAGCAGCTTTTTTTAAGGTAAAATTTATATCCCCCCCATGTAAAACTCAATGCTTTTTAAAAAAATCAATACATTACATATGATTTATTGCAGCTTTTCTTTTAAAATAGTTGTGAGGTACAAAGGTGGAGGTAGAAATGTGTAAATATGTTTGCATTAGTGTAAATACACAGATTAATACACGCTAATATCTTCTGCTACTTTATGGATTTGGATGGATTATAAAACAAATCGTGTCCTAAGAAATATAAATTATGTGCACATATAAAACCTAAGACACCCAATTAACATAAAAATGGATATTAATCCTATTATACAGCAGTAATCTAAAGAGATTACACTTTTTTCTTTCTTTATCTCCCTACCTTCCTCTCATGAGTAGCTTCCAAAACTTTTTTTTTCTTTCTCCTTTCATTTTATGGTTTTTGCATTTGCTAACATGTGAATACATTGTTTATGCCACCTCCCTTCCCCCCAGTGGTTTTTCATAAGGTGACAAGGTTGTGTTACCATCACCCTAATCTGCTTTTAAAACATTTGCATGACCACAGACTTTCTCCTGCCGTTTGCAGTCAGTCAATGACTCCTGCTGATTCTCTTTTAGGCTCTACTTCCATTTAAAGCTAACATTGTCTATGACTTTCTTTGGTTGCCAGGAAGTTGCCCACATTTAGCATATTATTCATTTTTTTCGAAATTAGGGTCTTACTATGTAGCCCAGAACTCTTGATCCCCTGCCTCAGCCTCCCAAATTCTGGGATTACAGATCGTCACCACTCACCCAGTGGGATGTTATTTATTTATTTATTTATTTGGCGGCACTGGGGTTTGAACCCAGGGTCTCATGCTTGCTAGGCAGGTGCTCTACCACTTAAGCCACTCCACCAGCCCTGTTTTGTGTTGGTTTTCTCAAGATAGGGTCTTGTGAACTATTTACCTGGGCTGGCTTTGAACCATGACCTTCCTGATGTCTGCCTCCTGAGTAGCCAGGATTACAGGCATGAGCCACTGGTGCCCGGCAGCTGGGAAATTCTTCAGTCTGTTTGGGCTGCTATAGTAAAGCATCACAGTGTAGGCGGCATAAGTAGCAGATACTTCTTTCTCATAGGTCTGGAAATTGGAAGTCTAAGATGGTGGGGCAGCAATGTCAGGTTCTGGTGAGGGCTGCCTTCCTGGTTTACAGATGGCTGTCTTCTTGCTGTATTCTCACATGGGGAGGGAGAGGGGGAAGAGGAGAGAGAGAGAGAGAGAGAGAGAGAGAGAGAGAGAGAGAGAGATTGAGAGAGAGAGACCCCACTGTGGCCTGTTATAAAGTTGCTAATCCCATGCTGAGTCCTCACCCTTGTGATCTTACCCTAACCTAATTGTTCCCAAAGGTCCTAGCTTCTGATATTACGACATTGAGGTTTTGGGGAGACCCAGCATCTAGTACCCAGCACAGGTGTACAAGAACACATCTCCAGTGGTCTACATTGGCTTTTTTTTTTGAGAGGGGATTTCACTACCTTATGTGGAATTCCCGGGCTCAAGCAATCTTTCAGTCTCAGTTTCCCAAGTAGCTGGGACTGCAGGCAAGTGGCATCAAAATTCATAATGAGGAAACCATGTTAAGAAGCCCTCTTTATTACTGTGAGGGTGAACAATATGAGGGTGCTCCAAGTGCCAGGGTGCAGGAGTACTGTCTGGCCGTTTGGTGGGACACCTGTTGGATGTGACAGATGTCCAGGCCTTTCCTGCTGTTCCCTCCTTGAAGGTCATGACCTCAGAGGGTGCAGGCCACACTCGTGGAACAACCTGTTTTCTCAGCTCATCTTCGGAACAGAAGTCTCCAGAGCAAGCCAGGTGTAGGGCTGGCGGCAAGGCTGAAGCAAAACCCTTCGAGCCGTGGCTGTGAGGCGGTAGTGGAGTTCTAAGTCACACGCAGGCCTAGAAACAGCCAGAAGCACTCTTATTTCTTCAGCTTATGCTTTCTTTTTAACAGTTGTAGAAGCAAGATAGAAAATTGTGTTGGCTATCTCAAAAACAATAAGCTGTACTGTTTATTTTACAGTTTGAAGGAACAAAAGAGAAACTTTGGATAGGAAGCCTCATAACTGTCATTATAAATCAGTTTCAGGGGAAATGATTGACAAGGAAAATTAGTGAAGTTTCATTAAACTCCTACAATAGCCATGGCAAATAATTTCTCATAATGATTAAACTAGGTTTCATAGTTCTTATCAAACAAAAAGTTTTATTTTTCATAAGGGTAATAAAATAAGTTGCAACCAGAGAGCATGCAGTCTCTTTTCATGGACAGTACAGTGACTTTAAAATCAGGAATGGAGCAGAGTTACATACCGTCTTTGCCTGTGCTTGAGAGGCAAGTGCTCTACCACTGGAACCATGCCCCCAGTCTCAGTAGCTTTTTATGTCAGCAGAAGTGACAGAGACTTAGAGCTAGGCATGGTGGTGCATGCCTGTAATCACAGCACTTGGAAGGCTGAGGCAGGTGGATCAAGAGTTCAAGCCCAGCCTGGACATGATAGCAATACTCTGTCTCAAAAGAAAGAGATTCAAGACACAGTGCCTGACTTACAAAGTTGACCCTAAAACGTCATTTTGGGTTCAAGTGATTTATTCCAACTACTACTTAATTAAAGCTGATTTCTTATTAGATACCAAGGGGGCATTACTGCCAGCCTTCCAGAAGCAAGAATTATAAAGGAATACAATGGGGGGAGGGGATAAAAGGAGAATGATGGAGAAGATGAATTCAACTATGATACAGTTGATATATTGTAAGAACTTTTGTAAATGTCACAAAGCACCCCAGCACAATAATAATAATAATAATAATAAATAAAATAGAGGAATGCAGAAACAATTGTATGCAATAAATTAGACATCTTAAATGAAATGGGTAATGTCCTAGGAAAAAAAACAAAAAAGCTATCAAATTTCAAGAAGAAATAGAAAATGTGTATAGATCTATGAGAGGTTGAATTAATAATGAAAAAATTTCCAACAAAGAAAAGGCCAGGCCCAGATGACTTCCAAGCATTTAAAGAAGAATTAATACCAGTTCTTTACAAACTCTTCCAAAAATAGATGAGCAGCACTTTCTATGAGGCAAGGCTAACCCTGATACCAAAATCAGACAAAGATATCTTGAAAAGGAAGAGTATAGTCCATATCGCTTATGAATTCAGAGGCAAAATTCCTCAAACATTGAGCTGGTGGAGTGGCTCAAGCAGTAAGAGCACCTGCCTAGCAAGTGTGAAGCCTTGAGTTCAAACCCCAGTGCTGCCAAAAAAAAAAAAAAGCCCTCAAATAATAGGACCAGAATCTGATAACACATAAAAAGGACAGTACAGAATGATTGAGTGAGACTTATCTCAGGAATGCAAGGTTGGTTTAACATCTAAAAATAATTTAACAGAACATTATTAGAATAAGGCAGAAAGATATAATCATCTCAGTAGATACAGGAAAAACCTTTGGAAAAAATTGAACATCCTGTGATAATGAAAAACATGCAAGAAACTGGAAGTAGATGGGTACTTCCTCTGATAAAAGACACCTATGAAAACCCCACAGCTAACATCATAGTTAATGATGAAAGTTCCTAAAAGATCAGGATCGAGGCGAGGGTGTCCACCCTATTCTACATTAGATCAGAGGGTGTAACTAGAAAAATCTAAGGAGGAAAATAAAATAAAAGGCACCTAGGAGTAGGGATGTAGGCATGTCAGTGGCAGAGCACTTGCCAAGCATGCATGAGACCCTAGCTTTGACCCCCAGCACCATAAAAAGAAAAACGGCACCTAGATTGGAAAGGAGGAATAAGACTGTCTCTTATTTCTGATCTTGTATGCAGAAAATCCTGAGGAACCCACTAAAAATGAGAACTCTTATCATTAATCACCAGGGAAAAGCAAATCAGAACCACGAGAAGTATCATCTCACACGATGGCTATTATAAAAACAAACAAACAAAACCAGAAAATAAAAGTGTTGGCAAGATGTGAAGGAATTGAGCCAGATGCTGGTGGCTCACGCCTGTAATCCTTCCTAGCTACTTGGAGCTGAGATTGGGAGGACTGTGGTTCAAGGCCAGTCCAGGCAAATAGCTTGAGAGACCCCATCTCCAAAATAGCCAGAGCAAAACGGACTGGAGGTGTGGCTCAAGAGGTAGAGTGACTGCTTTGCAAGGGTGGAGCCCTGAGTTCAAACCCCAGACCCACAAAAAAAAAAAAAAAAGGTGGGGGGAGATGGGAAACTGTAAGGACATGTAGAGAGGGGCAGTTGCTATGGAAAACTCCTAAAAAGGACTGTCCTTTTTTTTAAAATTTTGCTCCTCAAATCGTTGAAAAGGGAACTACCTTAGGATCCAGCATTCCACACTAGGGTACTTATCCAGAAGAACTGAAATCAGAATCTCAGAGATATTTGAATACTGATGTTTATTATAGCATTATTCATAATAGCCAAAAGATGAAAACAACCTAAACGCCCTTTGGTACAGAGCCTGTGTGTGAGGCCCTGAGTTCAAACCCCAGTGCTGCCACACACAAAAAATGTGTTGTGTATAGTCAATGGATGATTATTTGGTCATGAAAAGGAGGGAATCTCACCAAATGCTACCATGTACAAGAATTTTTTTTTTCTTTTGCGGTACTGGGGTTTGAACTCAGGGCTAGAGCTGGCTTTGAACCGAAATCCTCCTGATCTCTGTCTCCTGAGTAGCTAGGATTATAGGCGTGAGCCACCAGCACCCGGCTTATCTGGGTGAATCTTGAAACTGGGTGCGTGGTTCCACTTACATGAGATATCTGAAATAGTCAAACTTACAGAAACAGAAATTAGGATGGTGGTTTCCTGGGGCTAGGGAGGAGGAAATGAGTTGTTGTCTTTGGGTTTAGAATTTCAGTCATGTGGAACAAAAAAGTTGTAGAGATTTGCTGTACAACACCGTGCTTATAGTTAATAATACCATACGCTTAAGAATTTGCTAAGTGCAGGGTGCCAGCCTGGGTCAATAATTCACTTGACCCTGTCTCAAAAATACCCCATATAAGATAGGGCTGATGGGGTGGCTCACGTGGTAGAGTGCCTGCCTAGCAAGCCTGAGGCCCTGAGTTCAAGCCTCAGAACTGCCAAAAAAAAATTGCTATGTATTTTGCCACAATTTAAAAAATGAAATTAGTTAATGATAATAGCAAAGCCACAGAATACAAGATCATAATCCAGTGATAAAAAGACACCTCAAGTAAAAATGGGCAAAGGAACACACATTTCTCCAAAAATATACAAACGACTAATAAACACGAAAAGATGTTTAACCTCATTAGTCACTTGGGAAGTACAAATAAAAAGCACAGTGAATATCACTGCACATCTACTAATTAAAAGACAATAATAGGTGTTGGTGAGGCTGTGGAGACATCAGGTCTCAAGTACTGCTAATAGAAATGTAAACTGGGAAATAAAACTCTCTCTCAGAGTCAAGTGTGGCGGCTCACTCCTGTAATCCCAGCTCTGGCATAGCTATGCAGGAGCCCAAGGTAGGGGAATCATAGTCCAAGGCCCACCCAAGCAAAAGTGAGAGACCGTATCTGAAAAACAAACTGAAAACAAAAGGAATGAGGGCATGGTTCAAGTGGTAGAGTGCTTGCCTGGTACACACGAGGCCCTGAGTTCAAACTCCAGTTAAAACTCTCTCCCAATAAAAACTCTCTCCCAACTCCCTTTTGTCCTTTTTTGGGTGGTGCTGAGGTTTGAACTCAGTGCCTCATGCTTGCTAGGCCAGTACTCTACTGCTTAACCACTCTGCTAGCCATTTTTTTCGTGTGTTGGGTATTTTCTTTCTTTCTTTAATTTTTTTTATTTTTCCTCTTTTTGTGTGTTGGATCCTTCCATCCTTCCTTCCTTCCTTCCTTCCTTCCTTCCTTCCTTCCTTCCTTCCTTCCTTCCTTCCTCCCTCCCTCCCTCCCTCTCTCTCCCTCCCTCCCTCCCTCCCTCCCTCTCTCTCCCTCCCTCCCTCCCTCTTTCGTGGTACTGGGGCCTGAACTCAGGGCTCACATGTTTGAGCCACTCCACTTGCCCTTTTTGTGATGGATTTTTTTTTGAGATAGGGTCTCACAAAGTACTTGCCCAGGCTGGCCTTGAGCCATGATCCTCCTGATCTCAGCTTTCCAAGTAGCTAGGATTATGGGTAAGAGTCACCAGGGCTCGGCCTTTTGTGTATTAATTGTCAAAGTGAGAGGTTTCGTTGTGGCGGTTACATGCATGCACATGCTGTGCTCTGGTCATTTTCCCTCCCTTTATTACTCTTTCTTATTTCCCTTCCCTTCCTTTAAAAAGATTTTTGGGCTTAGGGCATAGCTCAAGTAGTAGAGTGCTTGACTAGCAAGCATGAGGCCCTGAGTTCAAATCCAAGTACACAAACATTTCTTCTGATGGGTTCATAATGATATACAATGAACTTTGATCTTATTCATCCCCCCTCCCTGTTTTTTCCCCCTCTCTCCACCCTGTGGTGCTCCCCCATTTTTTCAGGGGTACTGGGGTTTGAACTTAGGGCCTCACACTTGTTAGGTAGGTGGTCTACCACTTGAGCCACTCTGTCAGCTCTTGGTGCCCTCCCTTTTGCGTTTGTTTCCCTATTTCTTTTAGATCTAGATTGTCCATATGAGAAAACACATGTGATTCCCAGCTCTTAAAATTAGGCAATTCTCTTGGAAGGGATAGAACTGAATAGAGGTTACAAGGATGAGTTTGAATTTTCCAGGAGAGGACGGACAGCTATCGAAGTATGTAAGACGAGAGTAACATAAAAGCTATGGTCGGACCGATGACTGCGTCCCATGAGTCTGAAATAGCTACGTTTAGGTTGCTTGGGAATCTGACTACTAGTCTTCTCTTACTGCAGCTAGCTTCTTTGCATTCTACAGCAGGACTGTTTGCTCTTGTGACAGTGATGAAAGAAGTCACTAACTCCTCTAGCAAACTCAAATAGACAAAAAGTGAATATATTGACTCATATAAAAATCCTGGTATAGCTGACTTCAGAAAAACCTGAATGTAGGTGTTCAAATAATGTCATCAGGAATTTGTCTCACTAATGTCTTGGTTGTGTTAATTGCATTTCCGGGTAGAATCTTCTGTGTACCACATTGTCAGTCGGAGATAAAGCACTGTCTTTCCCAATAGTTCCAACTCCAGCCCTTGGGAAGATGCTCACTTGGGAAGATGGGTCACACCCTCCTCTAAAGTAACCACTGTGGGCAGGAGGAGGTGGGTGTGTGTGTTGATTGAATGGCAAAGGGGCAGAGGAGGGACTGGCCAGTAAAGAAAATGGTGGGGGCAGAGCGTACAAGTTTGCAGTTGCTTAGCGGAGTTGGAAAAGAAAAGAGGATTTATGTTTGCTGAATGTCAGCCGTGTGTTGGACCCTGTGCTGGGCAAATATAACTCAGCATGGTGGCAGAGCTGCACACATAAACAATTACTATCTCGTGTACAATAAGGGATGCATCAGGAGCCAGGGATGCATGTATGTGAGGCTGGGTATTTTGTAAAGAGGTTTATTTAACTCAAAGTTGTGTTGGAAGAAAGTCCAAACAGCATGGCATTGGCTCTGGTGAGGACCTCCTAGCTGCATCATGGTGACAGTGTGTGCAGGGGAGGCCATGATAGGGATCCAGAGTGACTAGGGTGTGGTCAGGCTTTCCCTCCCTCCCTCCCCCTCTTCCTTCCTTCCTTCTGCCTTCCTTTCCCTTTCATTCCCTTCCCTTCCCTCCCTCTTCTCAGTGTTGGGGGATGAAACCCAGGAACCAGGACCTTGTGCATTCTTAGTAAGCACTCTACCATTGGGCTACACCCCAGCCCAAACCTTGTCCTGTTAAAACAATCCCAGGAGAGCTACCTTATCAATTCCACTGGCAGCACCCTCAGGGGACTAAGGACTTCCCACTAGATCCCTTCTCTTAAATATCTTACATCATGGTGGGAACCAAGCTCCCTACACATGACCCCTTGGGGCCAAGCTATAGCAGAAACCATTTGAGGAGTGGTTGTGTATTTTGGGGGCGGGGTGGGGCAGTTAGGGGAGGCTTCAAGAGCAGGAAATCTTGACCTGACTCTTCAAGGATAAGTAAGGTAGATAAAAGTTTAGTGGCAAACAATGAGGAAGATTTCAGACCCACACCCTGGGTAAAGAACAGAATTTTTAAAAATACTGTTGGAGCCAGGCATGGTAGTGTGCACCTGTAATCCTAGTGTTCAGGAGGCTGAGGCAGGGGGATCACTTTAGCCCAGGAGTTCAAGGTCAACCTGGGCAACATACCAAAACCATGTGTCAAAAATTTTTCTTGAAATTGTTGGCCAGAAAAATTACATCCAAACTAAACAGATATTTAGTTTTGCTCATGTTACATTTTTAGATGTTTTAGAATTAGCTGCCAACATTGAAAGAGCTGGAGCTGCCACATAAAAATCTTTATTTCTAACTTATCTTCAAAAACCAGGTTTGGCATTTCTGCCTGGCAAAAGAAGACTGGTGCAGCCTCTCTACTTTCTGCTGTCATTTATGGGACAGCCATATCACCTGCCCAGTCCTCGAGGGTGGATTCAAGATGGCAGCAAAGTCCTCTTGGGAAGCTTTTGGAAACAAGGCAAGCATTAATCATCAATTTGCCTTTTTGAAAGGCAATTCTAGTAATGAACCAAAAAAGGCCTTGGAGGCAGATAAGGTGTCAAACAGACTGGTCAGGGAGCCAGGGCAGTGACACAGTGGTAGTGACAGAGAGAAAGGGAGAGAAGTTTAAGTTCAAGGCTTCCTCCTGAGCAAGGCTTCTCTGAAGCATTCATGGGAAACACAGCTCAAACCACAGAGCACAGAGGCGAGTTTGGGCCCCAGAAACAGGCTGGGAGTCGTCAACCACAGGTGTGTAGTTGAGGCTGTGGGTCAGAAGAGATAGTGTAGGGAGTTGGGGGAGCCACCAGAAAGGGCGCATCCTGGGGAAGATCAACACATAACACATTAAGGAAAGGAAGGAGCTGGGGGTGTGGCTCGTCAGTGGAGCGCTTGCCTAGCACACACAAGGCCCTGAGTTCTGTCCTCAGCACGGAAAAAAAAAGAACAAAAACAGGATTCCCAAAGGAAGACATACTCTGAAGGGGACTAAGAAAGCTAGAGAAGAAGAGAACCAGGGTAGTGGGGACCCCTTGATGTCCAAGGGAGGCACTCATGGGGGGAGCTAGGGGGTGGGCAGCAGCAGGTGAGGACTGCCAAGCTAGACAAGTTGTTTGATTGATTGGTCAGGAGATCATGTGTGGCCTTGGCAAGGTTGAGTCTGTGCAGAATGCTGAAGACAGATGCCAGACTAAAGTAGTGGGGAAAGAAGGCTTTTAAGAAACTGGGGGCTGGGAACGTGGCTCAAGTGGTAGAACCCTTGCTTAGCAAGTGTGAGGCCCTGGGTCCAACCCCAGATACTGGAAAAAAAGAAAGGAAAAAAGTTGGGTGTGAGGAGTAGGAGGGAGATTGGAAGTGGTTTGAGGTTGCTAGGTTCCCCCACCATGCAGGACACTTTGCACATTTTTATATACTAAAAAGCCAGGATCCCTGGAGAGAGAAGTTGGCAGTGCAAAAGAAAGCCATTAAGTCGTGGAGTGAGGTCCCCAAGAGAATGGGAGACAATGTGTCTCAGGAAGGAGGAGTCAGCCTGGGGCCCACAAAGCCTGAGTGCGCCTTTGATTACAGTCCATGCCTGTTTATAGACGCTGGAGATTCGGATGCTGGTGGGGGCGGAGGGGGGGGTAAGAGCTCTTACCTCGTTTCGCCATAAATAGGAGCCATGGGCCATGGTCATTTCATGAAGGCCAGAAGACAACCTGTGGATAGATGGGAAGGGCCGGCAAAGTTGGCTTAGGCTGGAGCCTACCAACAATTTGACACACATCCTTCCATGCGTCCTGCCCCAGATATGGGTCAACAATGAGTCTGCAGATGGAAGAAGAATGGAAGTAAACCCTATAGACTTAATCCTGCTCTTGACAAAGCTCCAATCCCCTTTCCCAAGCTACAGCCTGTAAACATCCCCAAAGCCTGTCCTCAGGAGCCAGGCTGAGACTTGCTCTACTGTTTCTACATGACTACTTTGTGAAGAAACTTCTTTTTTTGTCAAACGTGGTATTTCAGTGACTGGCACTCTGTGTGGAGGGCAAGACGGGCCTAGTTGGGTAACAGGACCAGGATTCAGAGTGACCACTTCCATATGGGATCCTGTCACAGGAGAAAAGACCCTTGGAGGGCCCCTTGTGTCCTGCTGATCTTTGTCCTCCCAGCCATCTAAAGTGTCGTAACTTTGTGGAGGACTCACCTGCTACGTCCCCAGGTTACATTCCTGACTATTATTACTCCTCCTCCTCCTCCTCCTCTTCTTCTTCTTCTTTTTTTTTTTTTCATGGTCTCTCTGTGTAGCCTAGGCTGGTCTTCAACTCAGACTCAAACCTTGAGCTTGCCCGGTATTGTGGTTCATGTCTGTAATCCTAGCTACTCAGGAGACAGAGATCAGGAGGATCACAGTTTGAATCCAGCCCCCAGGCAAACAGTTCATGGGACCCTATTTCAAAAATACCCATCACAAAGCAGGGTTGATGAAATAATTCAAGTGGTAGAGCACCTGCCAATAACTGCAAGGCAAAAAGACTGATAGGTAGGAGCTGGGTGTGGTGGTGCACACTTATGATCCCAGCACTCTAGAGGCTGAGGCAGGGGTATTGTGAGTTCTAGACCATCCTGGGCTATACAGTGACACCCACTCTCAAAAAAGGAAAAAGCAGGAGCCAAGTGCAGTGGCTCAATTCTATAATCCCAGCTACTTGGGAGGCCAAGTTAAGAGGATTGTAGTTTGAGGCTAGGTGAATGGTGTGTGGTGGGTCATATCTGTAATCTCAGCCATGCAGGAAGCATAGATAGGATGATCTTAGTCTTAGGCCAACCTCAGCCAAAAGCATAAGACCCTGTCTGAAAAATAACTAAAGCAAAAAGGGCTGGGGTGTGACTTGAGTGGTGGAGCACCTACCTAGCAAATGTGAGGCTGAGTTTAAACCCCAGTCCCACAGAAAAACAAACACAAACACAAACAAACAAAACAAACCCCCTTGGGCTGGAGATACAGCTCAATGGTAGAGCATATGCCTAGCACAGGTGAGGCCCTGGTCTCCCTCCCCAGTACCACAAGAAGTATAAGTAAGTAAATAAAATAAAGTTACAACTAGGAAAAAAATCTACTCTAAATAGTCACAAAACTTAAATATACCTATGGAGGAAAACTAGTGACCTTTTCAGAGAAAATTATAAAATTGTATTAAAAAGTATTAGAGAGGATAGAGATATATAATGGAGAACTATATCATGTTCATGGATGAACAGCTCAGTGTCCTCAGATTCATCTATAAATTTAGTGTAGTTTTATTCAACAATCTAAGAGATTTTTAAAGTCCTTATGTGTTAGCAGTAAATACTAGCGTATTTAAATTGAAATGCTATGGTGTCTGGGATTTGTTTTTTGCAGTACTGGGGTTTGAACTCAGGGCCTACACCGCGAGCCACTCCACCAGCCCTTTTTTTGTGATGGGTTTTTTTGAGATAGAGTCTCGTGAATTATTTGCCTGGGCTGGCTTCAAACTGAGATCCTCCTGATCTTTGCCTTCTGAGGAGCTAGGATTATAGGCATGAGCCACCGGCACCTGGATTCAAATAAAATATTGTAGGAGGAAAAAAATCAATATTTTCCATGTGTTGAGAATTGTCGAAGTTGAGTGTTGCATAACTTTTGATTGTATGCATTTGAAAGTTTCTACAATAAAAGTTTAAAAATGTAAATGGCTCCAATTTTAAAAAGTAAATAAAATGAAGCCTTATTTCCACAAAAAAGTTTTTTTAAAAGAAGAAACCTAATTTAAACTCAAGAGAAACAAAATTTGTTTTTCACATAACTAAAAAGATACTGCTTCAAGTACAGCTGGATCCAGAGTCCCAGATAGTGTCCTCAAGACTCCGACTTGTTCTCTTCCTTTTTTGGCCTTATTGTCCTCTAGGTTGGCTCTCTTCTCTGGCAGTCTTGCTTCAGACAAAGGAGCGAAGGCTACCAGAACCACTTAGACTCCTACCCTATAATTTGGGTCACCCAGCAGTAAATTCCAATTAAAGGCTTGGAATCGAGTCACACGGCACTATTTGGCCTGGGTCACCTGCACTTATTTCTGGCCCAGGTGCCCTCTAATGGCAGGGTGTCTGTAGCCAGCCTCTGTTTGCTAGCCCCCAGCGCACTGCCTGGATGGATGGATGAGAAAGGGGATGGAAGCAGCACACTAGCTTGTGCAGTCAAATGCCAAGTGGCAGTGCCTTCCCAAGGACGTCATGTTCCCTGGGTGGTGCTAGGCCCTGCTTTCTCCATTAGAAAGGCTAGGGGACAGGGAAGCTGCCAGCACTGGAGAAGTGGCTGCTGGCACTGCGCCTGACTTTTAATAAACTTATATGAGCGCCTCCTCTCTAAAGGGGGTCCACTGTGCACTTCCTGGAAGAAGAAACATCATTTGGTGAGAGGCCTCAGTGAGATGAAATCTAGGGGGTCTTGGGCCAGAGATGCTGCTATTAAGCCAGCTCGCTCAGAGCCCACTCCCCTGCTGCCTTGGGGAGTGTACTTTCCTGCTTTCGGTCACTTGTCACTCTCATTACAACTCTGCTGCTGTTCTAGAAAAAAAACTAAGATGGAATCTAGAGTTTTCCAGGTCAATGGACTCCACGATGCCCTACAGCCTCTTTAGAGCCAGGCAGACCAGAGAGGCCTAGAACCTTCCTAAGGAGTTTGGACTTTGTCCTACATTTATATCATCTTACTTCTGTGTGGCTACAGCCTACTAAACCCAGTGGAAAGAGAGCTTCTGTTTCCTGAAGCTCCAAGATGACTGCTTCTCCCTTGCACAGACTTGAATCAAATCTGTGAGGCTGAGCCAGAAAAAGGGGTTGCCCAGTATGCAGAAAGCCCTGGGTTCCATCCCCAGCACAGCCAAAAACAAAAGTGTTGGCCAGGGAAACCTGGTCCTGGGCCTGCGCTGGATTCCTCCTTCAACCTCACGGACTATCCGTCAGGGGAGCTTGATTCTTCCAAGGAAAACTCAGGTGGGGAAATGCCATGGTGGCAGCAGCAAGACAGGTGAGTGCCCACCCACTGCTCTCCGAGGGGGTGTCAACCCCCTCTCAAACACTGGGCCTGCACCTCCTACCAAGAAGCTCACGCTTGTGCAGGCATCTCCATCTGAGAACTTCCTCCCATTGGCCTCATGTCTGTGTCTGTCCTCTGCAGCAGCCCTGTGCAGCTTCCCCCTCCCCATGCTGCAGACTACATGGCACCTGAGAGCCTTGCATCTGTCTCTCCAGGCCTGACCAGCTCCCTGCCTCTGGGGGCCTGGCCTCCACCAATGCTTTTCCTGTGTGCAGGTGGGCTGAAGATAGCGTGGACCTCAGTTTCAGCATCTGTGAAATGGAGACAGTAGTTGCATTGAGTGTGCACAGTATATTTATAGTGTTTCAAACAGGGCCCCCGCACATAGTTGCTGCTCAATAAAAGCTGCTCTTTCTCCTTCAGCTGGAGGCACCGCAGTCTCTGTGCCATGCTGTTCAAGTCACAGATGCTCAGGTACAATATAACCCTTAGGTTGTACAGTTGAATAACCGTAGAACACTTCCACTGGGCATTGCCTCGCTTGAACCTCACCGCTGTGAAGCGGGCAGGACAAATCTTATTCCCCATTTACAGTTAAGGAAGTAGAGGTTCAGAGCGGTTAGGCTTCTTGCCCAGAATCACACAGCCAGTCAGTGGTGGGGGAGGGTTTTGAGCTTCTTCACATTGCCCTGCCTTTGCAGGGGCTACCCCTCAGCCCACCAGACCCTCCTTCAGTCTTGCCTCCTCTCCTCTCTTCCTCATCCTCTCAGATCCAGCCCAGATCCCCTGTAACTGACAATGATGTAAGAGCCAACATGTATTAAGCACCTGCTACTCTCTGGACTGTCCTTGCATTGTTTTAGGCAACATCCCCATAAACCTATCAGGCAGTTAAGCCTCTGTTGCAGAGGGGAAACTGGGACTGAAAAAGGTTAAGTAACCTGCCCAAGATCACACACTGGAGTGACAGCCAGGAGTCACACAGCTGCCTATTGTGGCAAAGGCCTTTCCTGCCCTGCTCTTGTTTCCTCTGTACGACCCAAGGATGGGGAAAGACTCCCCGTCCCCTTGAGCTTCTGCCCTGCTTGTCGTCCTTAGCGCTGTCGCGGCCCCTGTGTCAGCCCACCAGGCTGAGAGCTGTATGGGGACAGGCGTCTGGCTCACCTCCGCTGCCCCTTGCAGAGCAGGTGCTCCCTAGGCCCAGCTACGACATTTGTTCCTCACCTCCACCCTGTGAAGCGGGAGAGCCAGGGTGCCCCGGATAGCGAAGTGACTTCCATGGCCACCCACGAGTACATCTAGGAGTCCCTGGCTGGGGTCCGCGCAGGGCTGCCCGTCCGGCCGTGGGCGGAGAGGGGGCGGCGCGCAGGCGGACTGGAGCGGGCGCGGGGCTGGCCACGGTCTGGCGCGGGCTTGGCGAGCGCCGGGGACAGGATGGCGAGCAGGCTGGGGGCGGCTGCGGGAGGGAGGACGGAACGGAACGGAGTATTTTTGCATTTTGACATTAAAGGAGGCGCAGATCCCAGCCGGCATCTGTTCATCTCGGGCCGAGCCGCGGGCGGAGGGAGGAGCGCTCCTCAGCCGGTCCTTGCACGGCCGCCCAGGGGGCGGGGCCAGCGGCCGCCAAGCTCCGCCCCCAAGGGGCGCTGCCGCCCGGGAGGCGGCGCACGGCCGCTTCTCATTCATTGTCTTGACAGAGCATCCTCGGCCGGCCAGGCTCCGGCTCCTCCGCTCCCGCCGCCGCCGCCTCCTCCCTTCCTCCTCCTCTCGGGGGTGTCGCTCATCTCCGCCGCAGGTAGGGCTGGGCCCCAGGGGGCAGGACTGGGCCGGCTGCAGGGACCGGGCTCGGCTGCCACGGGCCACCTGTGGGGCCGGCGCGAGCGAGCGTGGGAGCAGCGGGCTGGGGATGGCGGACTGTCAGGTGCTCAATCGGGGACAGGAAGGGCACGGTACCCGAGGAGCGCCTGGGCCCCACAGGAGGGTCCCGAGTGGTACGAGGAGAGGGCGAAGGACCACCACGGCCAAGATGGTGGTGGGCACGGCGGGAGGGGCCGCGGCCGAGCGGGGCTTGGGACGGACGCGGGCGCCCGTCTCCCCCAGAAGGGGCGCTTCTGCGCGGTGGGGGTGGGGGCCGGGTGCGGTGAGCAGAGCAGCTGCCCTGAGCCTGGAGACAGGAAGGGGTTGAGAGCAAAACAAGAAAAGACCA